GCCAGAACTCCGTTCCTGTGCGTTCCTGCCCAAAAATAGCCCTGCTAACCAGCCTTAAAAACAGTTTCAGTTCTTTCCTTTTAGGGCCTAATTTTCTTCTGGAGAGTCTGTCCATAATCACCGGGCAAATTTTCTTCTTTATGTAGATTGGGTATAAGTCCCTTTGCTTTACTTCGCTTTCAATCTGCAACCGGTCCCAAAACGTCATTTATAGCTTATTGAGGATTCTCCCGTCTTCATAGTGTTTGTCTTTGGAATCATGTAGTTGACTGTCAATTGTTGGCTCTGTTCTTTAACAAGTATCTTTTTTTTTTTGTACCAGTAGGGGTCGCCATAACAGTTCACAATTTGGTAAAGTCTGTGGTATTCAGGTCACCTGACCTGACCAGCCTCTCCACTTCCTGAAGGAGGCTTAAATTCCATCTCAGTCTTTCTCCGCTTTTGATCGTCATTTTTGGGGATGTTTACTTTTCTTTTTTTAAATCGCAAAAGTCCCGAATGTTTGCCTTTCGCTTGAGCGCTTCTTGTAGGCTTTTTAATTCAGTCCATATTGCTTATAGCTCCATCCCCCCCAGAGGATGCTCTGAATTTGCTTTGTTGTCTGGGGGGAGAGTTCGCCCCCCCCCCGCTTAGTAGGGGAGGACTGCAAGCCATCGCTCTGATGTTTCGTTTCAACTTTACTCACTCTTCATATGTAGATCAAGTAGATCTCGCCAACAGGTATGCTTATTTACCGCCTGACCTCCACTCGCTTGATGGGGTATGCGTAGGTTAGTCCTTGCAGGAACACAGTGGAGAGACGGTCAGGGCAAAGGAATGCCTCAATCCACCAGCAGTGTGCCAGGGGAGAGGCGATCCTCAATGCCCCATGACTAGGGACCCATCGCAAGGATCCCAAGGGAGTGCACACATTCGCACCCCCTCTCTACCCGCTGCTTTGCAGGCCGCGTCCCTGGGAGCTCCCAGGAGACAAAACTGCAATCAGCTCGCCAAAACCCCGCCCCCCTCTAGGAAGACCTTCTTGTTCTGCTCTACCCAGATATCTTTAGGACTGATTTTCCCATAGGGGACTTAGTTTTTAAATAGTATTTCAGGTTTTTCCTGTGTTTGGGGTTTTTACATGGGAAGTTGTACTTGGGGGAGAGGGAACTTTTTTCTTTTCTGGTTCTCTTAAAATTACTTTTCTTTGGTTTAGTTTTGTCCTGTTGTGGAAGGGTTAAAAAAACTTGTGCTGTTGGGTTTTCCTCTCTTGGCTTGTTTTAGAATTTTTAACTGCTTTGCATTTTCTCTGTTCTAAAAGCATTTTAATTCTAAAAGGCTTGTGCTTTGGGAAGGAAGATTTTCCGAGCTGTTATTGTTTTTAAAAGTTTATCTTTTTGCATTCTTCTGGTTTTACAGTTGTTCTTGTATAGTTATTTTAAAAATCCTTCTGTGCAACCACACAACATATTTTAATCCAGAAAAGCTTCTGGTTTAACGGCGCTGTGAACGGACGGGTCTTGGATCGTCTCCGACCCACCCGTCGCCTCTTCGTTCTCCTTGGAGCTATCCAGCGATCGGGTGAGCTCTGCTTTGCTTCCTGGAGGGAGGCGAAGTGGCAGGGGGTGTTGCCCTCCCCCCCGTTGATGGCAATCGCGGGGGGGTGACGCTGGTTTGTCCCGAAGCAGGAACGAAGACCTGGAGGAACAGGGTTTCCATGTTCCCAGAGCAGCAACCAGCCGTTTTTTTTTTTCTTTTTAATCCCCCGAAGGGTAGCTTTATTGATTTTTTATTACACCTACGTGACTACAAAAAGGAAAGAAAAGAGAGGGAGAAAAAATGGAAGGGGGGGGAAAAATAACAAACTAAAATAACAAACCCCAGGATACAAACAGTATAAAGAAAGAAAACCCACACTATAACTAAAAACCCAAGAAAGTAGGGTCATTAACAGTTAGTATGCAGTTAGTTATAAAGATTAATGCTTTCATTAAGTCAAGGAATTTAGGAGATTAGTTAGTCCATTTTGTTGTATATCTAATTTCTTCTCAGTGTGCACATAGACTTCTTCCAGCTCATCCAAAAGTCTTTTTAGTTCATAAGTGCTATTTGGCAACTCTTAGCCGCAAGTCATATGCTTCTCTGGCCGTGCCTCCTTCTGCTCCAAGTAGGTCTCTGTCCGTCTCTTCCAGGTCAGCTGCCTGGCCTCCTCCGTCTTGCTGCTCTTCCTCTTTCTGTCCGAAGAATTGCTTCAACCATTCTTCTGCTTTTAACACCGAGTCGATTTTTTCTCTTTTGTCTCTATATTTGAATTGGACCCCTTCTGGAAAAAGCCAGGAGTATTGAATTTGGTTGATCTGAAGTGTTGAGATGAGTTCTTTGTACGCTTTTCTTTTCTGTCGAACCTCAAATGGAACGTCCTTAAGGACCCTGATACTTGCTGATCCCATTTGCAGGGGTTTGTCTGCTGTTGCTTTGAGAATATCATCTCTTGTCTGTCGTCGGAGAAATTTGACCACGATCTCGCCCGGCAGTTTGTTTTGCTTAATATATTTAGAGTAAGAACGATATGTCACTTCTATCTCTGCATGCGCTTCAGCCGTTGCAATGCCGAGCGATAGAGCGATTAGCTCAGCTGCCACATCTTTCAAAATTTCTCCTGTCGTCTCAGCCACCCCTTGGAATCTAAGGGTTTTATTCGCTTTGTCCATTTGTAGGTTCAATAGCTTCCTTTCGTGTAGATCCTGCTTTTGTTCCATCAGACCAACTCTTTTCTTCAGCTTTTTAGCATCATGTGTGGTCTCTTTAAGTTTTTCATCAGTTTGGATCGATTTTTTCACAAGCTCGGTGATCTGCTGTTGCTGTTTTGCCATGCTCTGGTTTGAGGCAGCAATCAATTGGTTAAGGCCATCGAGTCTTTCATGAATGGGCCGAAGCAGCTCTGTTAGTGTGGAGAAAACATCTCCTTCCTCCACTCTCGGACTTTGAGAACCACGCCCCCCTCTTACTCCTCTCCCTCGGACGCCGGCCATTTTCCGCTTTGTTTATACTAAAGAGTGCTTTTTCACACTTCTTCAGCAAGTGCTGGTTTATCCGCAAAAAACAGCTAAGTCTCTGGCACGCTTGAGTGATTAATTGTCTTCTCCCCCTCCCCGTCTCTTTAAATCACAGTTCGGTTTGTTTACGTCTGGGATTCCTCCCGACGCCGCTGAGGGTGGGGGGGGGATCGGAACTCACTTTTAAAGCTTCTTCGCTCGTCTCATTCTCCAGTTCCTTGACAGTCTGATCACAGACTCCTTTTAATCATGCTTCATTCGCTGACCCGCTTGCTTGTCCCGATCGGCATTCAGCTATGCTCGGTAAAAACCGAGCCTCTCAGGGGGTGGACCGAATGGGGCAGGGAGGAGCGCCTCAATTCCCCGGCTTCAAGCCGTGGAAGAGGTCGCCCCTCAAGCGCCCCCGGCTTGGAGCCCCACACTGAGGCTCACCTGGGGGTGCCACTTGAGGTGACACCCCTCCAGCACCCCTGACTTTCAATCCACTTTCAATGCACTTTGCAACTGGATTGCAACTGAATTGCAACTGAAACTATGGGCTTCTTTCACACACACTAAATAACGCACTTTCAATCCACTTTCAATGCACTTTGCAACTGGATTTTACTGTGTGAAAGGACAAAGTCCACTTGCCAGAGGCTGCTGAAATGGATCGAAACGGCCATATTTCGCTAGTGTGGAAGCTTTACATAGGCTGCGGTCACACAGAGCATTAGCCACACTACAGAGACGGAAGATAGTATAAGTTAGGTAATGGGATTTAAATGAGTTTTGAATATAATTGTATTTTGTGTATTTAAACAGAGTTCAATTTGTGGAAAAAATGTTGATTTCTGGAGTTGTAGTGAGTGAGTGACCTTAATAAGGTGTAGAATACTCAAAAGCTACTATTTAAAACTTTTGTGTAAAATCTGGTCATTCCATTATTAATGAATTAACAAGGGTGTAATAGGGAGTATTGTGTTAATTTTTGATAATAATTTCTAGTTATAATTTGATTTTTAGGAAGTAATTGTGTTTTTATTGCATATTCATAGTTAGCGGATTGAGATAAAAACTTGAATGATCAAGAAAAAAAGGCATATCAATGGAATATTAAAGGAACTATAATTGGAATTAGGATGGTGATTAATCTAAATAATAAGTGTCAGGTATGGGGATAATTAGCTGTTTGAATCTTTGGTCTTTGGCTTCAGGTTAGATAGTCTGAAAAACGTTACCAGATATAATACGGGAGCAAAAAGGTTTGAAATGCGCGATTTGAAATTATATTGGAACTAATATTATCTATAAGAGATTAATGAATTTAACAAGTATGGTATGGTTTTGTAGATATGCCTAAAATATGTATTTGCATTTTCTTGTGTCTTGTTTGTTTGTTTAGAAAATTAATAAATAGATTATAAAAAAACATATTTTAATCCAGATTCTTCATTGGTTTCCCACAAATATTAAGGAAAGTATTTTAAGGGGGAGGGGGAGACCAGGAAAATACAAATTAAAACCAGAAGATAAGAAAAGGTCCAATGTGAATGATAACTGAAACAAAATGAATATATATGTGGTGAAACAAACAAGCTTATAAGTTAATGGGTAATAACCCCTCCCACCCCTGCAAATAAACCAACAAAGGTTATGAGCCCACAAAACTTTTTACTAGAGTTTACTAGGTGAATAAACTACCAAATGCACACTTTAAAATTCAGCACTAGTCCCCGCCTTGGCAAAAGGTGATAAGACTGAGAAATTTGGAACCCATTATCTAGGGGTTCTCAGGGGCAGGGAGATCCCATTGTGAACCAATCAAAAAGTGTGGTGTGCATTTAAAATTGCTGCCAAAGGAGGTTTTGCCCAATAAACCTTTCCCTTTAGGATCCTAGGGAGTTTTGTGTATGACTGCTTGGGAATCCTGACTCAGTCACGGTTTGCAGAAGTGTGAACATAGATGTTTAAAGATTTGTTTACCTGCAAATATTATGTCCACACATTATATGTTTGCTGCAGGAAACACCAGTGTAACTCTGGTATTTCCTGCAGCAATCATAACATTCATAGCTGCTGTTATATAATACTGGCTCAGGTCCCCAACTGACCCTCCCTTTTAATACAGAAACTGACTATATACCACAGCTGGGTTCCTTCAAGATGACTGGACAAACAGAAGGTTAGGTGAATTCTGGGCCTGACACTCTTTATGGTAGTATATTTCTTCTCCAGGCTAGCTGATCAGTTTGTCAGAAAAATGTGTTTTACAGCAATAGGCAGAGGAATCACTTTTAGCTACCAGAAATGCTCAGGAGAAAGTTCCTCAAAGCTTCAAGAGAGATCCCCACAAAATCAGATTATCACTAAGAATATCATTTAGGTAAATTTGGGAGGAGGCACTCACCCTGTCTTCAATGAGGATAGTGCATCTTGCACTGATCTTTGGTTGAACTTTACCATGTAGTTATGCATCAGTTCATAATTGTTGCGGATGTTCCTCTCAGTACTGCCATTGGGAACTGTCCCAAAACGGAAAGGTGGTGAGAAGGCATTTGGATTTTGGAACTGCAGAAAGAACGAAATAAAGAAAAATTCCCAAGTTATTTCAGTGACTATAGGAGACAGGAATGGACACCTCAGAATGTTAAATTGGTGGATAATCCAGTTTTGTTTGAATTACACATTGGCATCTAGGATCCAGTGGTCCAAGCATATAGGATATGCTCTGAAGATGTGGTATGTCTTCACAGGTGAGAAATATATATTATTTGCATTCTTTGACATCTTCATCTCAGTACTTCATACTACCAAAAAGGCAGTAGTTTAAGAAGCAGTCTACCACTCTGGATAACCAAACTATAGCAGAAAAAATAATAATGAAGGAACCGCAGTGTTTGCATGCTCATATAACTCCTTTCAATGATAATATTTATGTTAAGATTGACACACTGTATTAAAAATACTTCTGTAACTAGCAGAATATTTGCTGTTAACACTAATTATCTCTAGATATGATTGCCCCCATTCCAGAAACCCAACTAGACATCGCTAAGCTGCAGCCAACCCAGGGCTGGGGTGGGCAAGACACAGAAGCAGGCTTAATTTTCAATGGCTCAAGTTAGGGCCATGATCGAAGTCAGTGAGCAAGCATAAATCACAGTGACGTTCAGAGAGAAATGTGCTGGTGGTGGAAAGTGCTATCAAGTCACAGCTGACTTATGGCGATCCTGTAGGGTTTTCAAGGCAAGACATGTTCAGAGGTGGTTTGCCATTGCCTGCCTCTACATAACGCCCCTGCACTTCCTTGGTTGTCTCCCATCCATATATGGACCAGGGCCAATGCTGCTTAGCTTCCGAGATCTAATGAGATCAGGCTAGCCTGGGCTGTCCAGGTCAGGGTGAGAGAAGTGTACCCCTTTACATTCTCTTTGTAAATGGTTCATTCAGTCCTATGGAAAAAGTAAAATACTGTGGTTGGGGACGCCTGCAGTAACAGGAAAACCTTTCCTTCCCACTGAGATGGAACATCTCATCCTTCCCCTATAGGGGGCCCTGACTTTAACCAGAGGAGGCACTTTCTCAGACACAGAAATTGCCCCACCCCTACCACCAAAGAACAAAGGGCATTTGGCTTGCAGAAACATTCACCACTCAAGATCCAAACCAGTTACGGATGAAAACAGATAAAAATACAACTGACATAAAAATAACAGCCTAATTATGTATAATAATAAAATCTTAAAAGTAACAATGTAACTAAAACTAGAATTGTCATAGCACATCATCTTTGACCTAATCAGTTGCAAAGTTCACTCAGCATGATTTGGAAGCTTGATGCTGCATCATTTGCACACACAGTTCATTTTAATTTATGCAAATTTTCAGTTGCCTAGCTTGAGCTAAAAAAACCCTCATCGGCTAGATGACTTGTCTCCTAACAAATTTTATAGCATTTTATGGACAAAAGAAAGAATATGATTCCTCATATGTTACAAATCATAATATTAAGAACATAAGAAGAGTCCTGTTGAGTCTGAAAAATGGTACATCTAGTCCAGCATCCTGTTTCACACAGCGGCAAACCAGATGCCCTGGAGGTTCAACATACAGGGCACAGAGGCTGATGCCTCTCCTGATGTTGCCCTCTAGGAGCAATATTCAGTGTTTTACTGCCTCTAACTGTGGGCGCTCCCTTTAGTCACCACAGCAGTAGCCACTGAGGACCTATCTTCTATGAATCTGTCTCATCCCCTTTTAAAGCCATCCATCTAGTGACCATCACTGCATTTGCCGGCAGTGAATCCCATCATTTAATTACTCACTGAAAACAGAAATACTTTGCTTTGTCCATGCTGAACCTTTGCCCATCAGCTTCATTGTGTGTTCCCAAGTTCTAATACTTTGGGAAATGGAAAAAAGTTATCATTATCCACTTTATCTGTCCCTAGCATCATGTACCCCCTTGTCTTTTTTCCTAACTGAAAATTCCCAGTCTTTTAGCCTTTCCTAGGAGAAAACTTGCTCCAACACCTTAATTATCTTGGTACCCCTCTACTGCATTTTTCCGGTCCTGAAATATGAAGTGAAATTATCATGAAAGAAAGACATTAAAATAATGATTTCTTAAAACTAAAATATCTTGTACATTTTTCTTAAAGGCAGGGGACATTTCCTGCAGGAGCGCACAGGAGCGGAGCTCCGGCAGTAAAGAGCCCTGGGAGCGGGCACATGCAACACGCCCCACCCCCTGCTCCCAGCAGCCCTCAGTCAGAGCAAGAAGCAGCCAGGTAAGTTGCAGAGCTCCCCCCCGGCCCCCCCGGTCCAAAACAGTCCAGTGGAGCCTGAGCGGTGGGTGTTGCCTTCTGACACATTTCTGGTGATGTCAGGGGGTGTGGCATATGCAAATAAGTTATGCTAATGAGCTCCTGCAGCTCATTTTCTACAAAATGACCCCTGCTTAAAGGTGAACACAGATGGAAATTTACAGATGTTCCTGAGAAGGACATTCCACAGTTTTGGGGGCACTGCTCTATTCATTCCCAGGGCTGCTCTCAATTCTCCATGGAGATGATTCCAGAGAATTCTAACTCAGGTCTTCATTTGGTGCACTGAGCAGCTGCACACTAATTTCCCTGCTCTTTAGACCTTTAATGCAGCCACATACATTTAGGACTTCTGGCAGGTCCCTTCGTTTGAAATTGTTCCTTATTTCAGAATGTAACAAACAATGTTATATTTAACAACATCTAGGCTCCACTGATGGTCACAGAACAGGGAGCAGATCTTTTATTTTTGTATTTTTCTTAGGCAATTCTGATTCTTTATGTACAGAGAAAAGAACAGAAAATGGAATGGAAGCCATGGTGTTAACCTACCCCACCCCCCACGGCCCCTGACAAAAATACACTCTATATAAAACTATTTAGGCTGATTTGTTGTAAGATTTTATCAGCTACTTGGTTTACTCCAGTCACAATCAATGCTTTCTGGGATTCTATGAGCAGTAAACTTTAGCACTGACAATTACGAAAACTCCTTAAGATTCATATACAAGGAGGGGGAAGGGGAAACAAAGTGAAAAAGTAGCCAGGGGGCCAAAAAGCAGCAGTAAGAGGGAAAAATTATGCCCAAGGCTTTCAAGTAAATGAAGAATCCTCACCCGAGTACTCTGGAAAGGGTTTCTGCAAAGCTAAGTAGCACCATTTGCCATCAGGGCACCATGAAGGCAGGCAGTGAAAATCTGCGTAACAGTCAGATCTATGCTGCCCATGCACATGTGCACATTATTAATTTCTCACACATGGATATAGCAGATGTGTGAAGAGTATACATCAGCATCTTCTACTGCAGAAAATGCCAGTTTTCTTGTGTGTATGTAGATTCTCTCTGTGAACCGAGCTACATGTGTTATTGTGTGTAGATCAGAACTCTGGGAAGGCTGTTAGTACAATGAACTTTGCTGGTAAGGATATGATACTTTTCTGTGAGAATACCAGTCTCTTTGGCTGGCAGAAGTACATAAATGTAGAATAAGAAATACCTGCACTGCTAACAAATGGGTTAAAAAGCCCCATGGGCTAGCATTTAGTAAAAATCTAACATAAGAAACTGAGCAGCATGGGAAGTCTTAGACTGGGGGCTTAGAAGGGGGCTTAGACTGAGGTAACCCTGCACAGGACTGCACTGCTAATCACAGAGCCAAACTTTTGCAGCATGCGGCATCTCGCCTCCCCCATATCCATCTCTGCGATCCTTTTCAGATACAAGTGAAAATTAAATGCAGGGATCTATATGATGCCCAAATCCAGAGATCTTTGGCTGTAAGCTTGAGACGAACACACATAAATATTCATCCCTGATCTACAGGCTTTGTGTTTGTAACACTAGAGGGAATCGATGCCCAGCTGCCACTCAACTACCCATGGGGCCCTGAAGAGTGAAGGAAGATGCAGAAGAAAGAAGAAAAATTATTTAGTTTTACAGAGGAATTATTCTGTGCAGCTGAAAACTTACTTTTCTGGAGAATAGCCTTATTTTTACCCCTACGACTACAGATTTGGAAGAAATTGTCCTGAGCCTATAATACCTACAAGAGCAATGTACCTTAAAGAGTCTGTGGAACACATTTTTCTCTTTAGTGCTGTGGAACTGCGTCAATTAGCAGAAGACTAGGAAAGCAATAAAAAAAATACTCCACCAAAAACCCCCCACACACACACCCTTGATGCCTTCATGGTGCTGCTGGAACCAGTTCATGCCTTGTCATGAGAGCCAGGTGCTGGAGGCAGAGGCAAGCCTGTTGCAGGAAACATGGAAAAACAGGTTGCTTACCTGTAATTGATGATCTTCGCATGGTCATCTGTGCAGTCACACCTCTGGGATATAGTGTGCCTGCGCCGACCTCGATTGGTTCCTCTTGAAAGCGAAAGGGATTTTTGCGCCTGCTCCCCAGTCATGCGCCGGCCCCACTGCGCATGACCAAGGGAGGGGCACGACAATCCCGCCAGTTTCTCCTGACCACTGCCAGATGACCACTCAAAGATCATCAGTTACAGGTAAGCAACCTGTTTATCTTCTTCGTGGTCTCTGTGCATCACACCTCTGGGAGATTAGCAAGCAAAAAACAGCCCTACCTGGAGGAGGGAGCTGAAGGTCCTAGACTTGCGCTGCCTGCAACACTGCCCGTCCCACCACAGAACGTTGATGAAGATGCACATCCAGGGCGTAATGCTTCACAAACATGTGGGGGGTAGCCCAGGTTGCTGCTTGACAGATGTCAGTGAGCGACAAACGTCTCAGGAAGGCTGTGGATGTGGCTAATGCCTGGGTGGAATGCGCTCGGAGCAGGCCTGGAAGTGGCCATTTGGCCAGTAAGTAGCACAGTTTGATGGTTTCCACAATCCACTTGGATAGACATTGTGAAGAAAGCTTCTTCCCCTGCACAGGTGTGCTATAGGAGATGGACAAGGCTGGTGACTGACGGAATGACCTTGTCCTATTGAGGTAGAAGAGTATGGCTCTCTTGACATCTAAGCTGCAGACTAGACGTGGCCATGGGCTCAAAC